TATATATATATATATATATATATATATATATATATATATATATAGAGGAGCACGAGGGACAGCAGGTTATGTCGGATGTGCTATTGATGATAACAGGAAGGTATTTCGAAAGGTCAATCAAGACGTAATTCTTTCTCAACAAAACATCGTACCTGATGTTCCGGTTGCTTGTGCGATTTCCTGGCGTAGACTTTCAGGACTCTGCAGTTACACGCGACGGAGAGAGCTACCGCCGATCCCTATGCAATAATAATAATAATAATAATAATAATAAAATTGTTGTGTATGATAAGATAACGAGTTGTATCATCGAACTATGAACCAAAGAAACATAATCTACTTAACATATTATGAGAAAAGAAACAGTGCGACCCAACTGTATGATGAAAAATGAAAATTATCCTAAATTCTCGACACTGTGAATAAAGAAAGAGAGGTAAAAGACAAGTGATAAAAAAATAGAAATATACGAAGTAAAAAAGATAAGAACTTGAAAATATACTTAACAGTACATTGAAAAAAAATATTTGCAAATTTATTCGTAACGTAAAGTTTATATTTGTTTCTCAGTATATGATTGAATTATTACCTAAAGGAAATTATTAGAAAAGAATGCTCGAGAGACTAGCATTTCGAGAGATCACAAACGTCCTTTACGATCGCCATTGCAGGGACAAGAAGAAAGGAAGGCCGGTGGTGAGGAAACAAAAGCTTCTAAAAGGAAAAGCGAGCACAGCAGAGCAGGCGAGATGTACGATTGGACGTAGGTAAAACGAGGAGAAGTCGACACATCTTTCGCCACTTCGAGATTCGTCGATCGCGAAAAGCTCTCGCTGCTGAAGAATACTCGACTCGACTCAGCAAAGTTGCGTCCGCGGAAAGAAAGATAGAGAGATATACTCCCTCTATATACGCTAACAGAGAGAGGCATGCTGAAAAGCCGTTTACGCTTGATGCAAGATCGAACATCAGGGATGGAAAGTTCCTGAGAAACTTTCCGTAAGAGCGCAGGAGATTCCGCGAATTCCTGCGTTCGCCCTCTCGCCTCTTTATGCGCGACGCGCCGCGACACCGAGCGTCATCGAGAACCTCTCTATGTTGAAATGAAGTCGACGTAAGGAACGAGACTACCCAAGCAATTACAGAAGGCACGGCAATTAAAATGCTCGAATTTATGGCACGTTAAATTCCTAATTTAATTACATATGAAATATGGATGTGTACATTGTGCCAACAAGAATAGTTTCAATAACGGTGAAAATAATGGCCTAAGTAATGGTTCCAATAATGTTAAATAATGGTTTCAGTAATGTAGTCCCAATAATGGCCCGAGCAATGCTCCGAATATTAACCCAAACAGTGTTATGCATAAAATGGCTGAAATAATAACCACGGCAATGAGCCGGAAAGTGCATGTAGCAATTGATGCAGTTTGAGCGAATCAGACGTCACGAAACGCGACGTGACTCGCGCAATAAATTGACCATGCGTTTCCTCGTCTTTCAACGTCCGTTTCTAACGTTCGCTCGTATATTCGCGCCATAATCCGCCGGAATTGCGGATGGAGATACGAGGGCCGTAAGGTACGTCGTTAGGAAGGAGAACGGACCGGGGGGAGGCAAAGAAATGGCGGCTCGGACGCGGATCATCCGCCTTCAAGATTCCCCCAAGCAACGCGTGGAGGTTTTTGCAACGCGTATCTCTTCTACCACATACCTGAAGCGAATGACCCGTGCAGAAAACCGCCCAGAGGAAGGGAATCTTCAGGACCCTGGACGCCACCCCGCAGCCGGCGACCACAGCGACGATCAGACTGATTTTCAGGAAGAGCATCAATTGCAGCGCCCTTCTCCTCTTCATCTTCTCTCGCTGCTTTATCTCCAGCTGCATGCTGCATGTGTACCTGCGTGCGCGACCGCGACATCATATGACGTAATTCGTGACCGAGAAAGGGGATCGCGAAACTTTCGCGAGCGGCGGCACGGAAAAGCAAAGTTTGGAATTGCGAGGATGAAAACATACGACCAACGTATCTTGCAGGATTTGGGATAATAAATTACTTGTAATATCCGGAAATTTGGAGAACGCATAAAATCGCGCGCCAGGATCTCTCGATTTGATATTAAAGTATCATCATTCGTTAGACATCGCCGTCAAGTCACGCGATGGCAATGTATCCAGTTAAGTCTTGATACATCGCTATTTCGATGCGAAATCCCCTCTTATATCTGTTTAGCGTATTTGATTGCGAAATTAATGGCGGACGGTAATCGAAGAGTGACTATACCTCGACACGATCGCAGCCTTGACGAGGTAGTAGGCGGAAGTCAATAGAAGCAGGGTGACCGGCAAGCCATACGCATAAACTGTCGCCCTGACTCCGAGAAACCTGGAAATAATGGCAGACTTGCACTTAATCTCACCATCGCCATTAACTTTACTGTCAGTAAATAGGAAAAGGGTCTGTAAGAGGCCATACACAGATGTAATAGTATAATATAAAATCAGGTAAGAATTATATTTTTTACGTTAATATATTTTTTCAAGAATTCTTGAAACTGAAAACTATTGCAGTAATTTTCAGATAACACATTACCTTTTTAACTTTACACTATTACACTTGTGTACAGACTGTTATGAGCCCTTGTTCTCTTTACTGATATTCAATACTGTATTCGCAAAATTTTGTCTTTCTAATTATCAATTTTACTGTTATACATGCATTTTTATTTTTTATTTATATCAACATTCGCTAAATGAAATGACCGGAGAATGTCGCGGCTGGAAAATATTCTGCGCGCGTGAACATTGAATTCGACGTTGCATCTCGAATGAAATGTGAGAAATGCAGAAGGAGGCGCGCGAAAATATTTATTAGCTTCCGTTTGTTAAGTCTCGCCGATAAATCGCACGTGCGAGTACGCGCGAGGAATACTCAAAATCCCGTCGTCGTGTCGTCTGCTCTTTCCCGAGGAGGGGGTGGAGAACAGATTGGGTCAAAGAGAGCGGGCGTCTCGCAAAACTCGCGATTTTATCGAAGAACACTCGCGCGATATCGAGGACCCATTTTCGGCGTTCGCCTACTTCGCAGCGTGTTGGCAGCTCGATTTTTATGCACGCCCGTGCGAAATATTCCTCGCCGTTTATTTCCCCAGATTGCATCTCGGATATTCGGCCAGCCTTCAGCGAGACCGTGAAGAGAACGAAAATCCCTCGTCTCTCGGCGGTGTTACTGAAGTGAAAAAGTCGTGAGAGAAACAATCGGAGTGAAGTCGATGCGATTGTTGCTAACGCGATACTATGTTTAAAAAACTGTATAATTATTGCAGAGAATACACAGAACGGAAGAGACCTGGAAGTTGCGCAGCTTGAGGAATTTTCAATTTTCTTCGCTTCCCACGAATTGCGAAAACTCATTGCAGATTCGCGAAAGAGATGTGACTGAGAATAATCGAGAATGTTCAGCGATTTTGCGCGACAATATCACAAATGGACAGTAAGGGGAAAAAGGTTTGGTTATCATCTTCCGCGGTCTCACGAAGAAGAACATCGCGAGATAGATATGGGAGACATACAATAATACACGATGTACATCTTCTTATCGAATAGCTCGCTTTGAAAAGTGGCACGAGTGTCGTTCGGGGTTCGGTATTCCGGTTTCAAGAAAATCTGATTCAACGAAAATTGGTTGTTCCGCAGGATTCCATCGTGGGTAGTAGAGAAGGAGGAGAAGGAAGAGAAGCTGGAGGATGGAGACAAAAAAGAAAGGGAACACGGCGAACGTGAACAGAGTCTCGAAATAAATAAATGATCTGCAGTGTATACACAGACGCGACATTCTTCGAAGGACCGAGCGCGCGCGCGCGCGCGCTTCCGCCTCGCCGTCCAATATCCCGACGAGTTCGAGCGTGGAAAAAGGACTTCAGTTTCCGGTTGGATCCTTTGCGGCTTGGAAAACCCCATCGTCGTGCTACCGTGGCTTTCGATCCCACGCATCCCGGGGAAGCTTGAGGAACAAAGTGGGTCGCACTGGGACGCGAGTGGGACGGAATGCACGCGTTAAGGAGAGGAGGGAGGGAGAGTGGGTGGGAGAGGGAGAAAGAAAGAGGGGAAGAGAGAGAGCTGAGTCACTCTGTTAACTCGCGCGAGAGGTTCTCGCAGAGAGCTTTCGCGAGGAAACGTAAATGTCAGTAATTCCCTCCGTGCGGTGTGTTTCATTCGACCGACGACGGAGATAAACGTTTCCCCCGGTGTATCGCGAATAAATAAAATGGATGGACATTGATCGGCATGCGCGCAGCTTTACTTGCGTTACTGTCGGTATCCTCCATCATGATATATATCGAGTCTCAAGCAAAAATTTCGATTCGAAAACAAATTATACATAGAGACTTCAGATTAGAGAAGGTTATCTGATCACAATATTTATTGAAATATTTGTTGTTACAATTAATTCCTTACACATATTTTTCTAATATAAAAGGCAACAGAGATATTTTAGAATCGAACGTTAGATGACTTAGTTTGTACATGGGGATGTAATACTAATTGAACATTAGGTAAGAACTATGGCTTGTATAAATTGGCATATAAATACAATAATTTTTAATGCAATATTTATTTAATTTGAATTCATGTGAATTTTTTTTCTAACTATAGAAAATCTGGTTGTAGCAACGATAACATTTTCTCAGTATGTATCTTCATCATAGAAGCCATCCATTACCCCGTACTGTTACTTAAAAATCCATTACTTAAAAGTCGAACCGAACTTTTTCATGAAATATTTCTTTGTTATAATACGTTTTAAATAGTGATAATAAAAACTCACCAGCAATTGAAGGGCGTGAGCTCGACGACGTTCCAGAAATCGTGGCCCTCGCGACTCTGCAGGAAAGTCGCCAAGCCGAGGGTGATCAGCGGCGCACCCCAAGCGAACAGACTGTACTTCAAGTACGTTGGCGGGTCGTCGCGACGCGGTATCGATGCCACGGTGGCGTACAGGTGATGGCACATCGCCGCCAACCAACAGAGCACTGATACTCGCAGATATTGCAGGCTCAGGCCGAGCGAGATGCAGAGCTCCGAGTCCTGCAAACCGAATGGGCGCATTCAGTAGAAAAAGCGCTCAGTGAACAATCAACGATTATTGGTTCTTGCTATTAGATCCCTAAATCTAGACCAATTACATTGACAAATTACTCAACTGTTGTGCAACTGTTGAGTCTGCTGAATGCAGCCAATGACAAATATTGCATCCACTTTTTATAAATGTTATATTTTATGGATATTATATCCGATATTTAACATCCGCTAGAACTGTTTGTTTCAATCCGCTGAAATAAAAATCGGATTCTGCATTCCAAAAATGGTTTTGTAGTCACATAACGAAAATTATCTGAATTTGAGAAATTATTTAAGATGAATAAACGACTAGCAAACATTGCAACATCGCCACGTCGTATGTGACGTGAACGGAGACATTCGAGGCATTCGACGTCCCGTAATAACCCGAAGGAAAATTCGCGTTTAGACGAAATAAAAAAGAGGCTCTTTCGAAATTGAGCGAGGCAGATTTTTAGGCTCGATATTTTTAGTTTTAACGGGTGAATTATTCGCGCGCATCGGTAATAATGGCGAGTCGGTATTAAATTACGCGCGGGGCAAGATACTTCTCTAGTCTTTCTCGTTCGATTTATGGTCCACGGTGGGCTATGAATTGCGCTCGCCAAACAAGCCACGTCAGACGATATTTTGCAGGGCGGATAAACGTCATCGTCAATTTGCTCCATGATAAAGAGCGAATGGGAGTAATTCGCGATGGTGGCCTAAACGTACGGTCGTTGATATCGTGGACACGCCGGCCGGCGTATTGTTCACGCCGCAAATTCCACAATACCCGCTGATATTCCCATCGTATATCTATTTCGCGATGCAACATCACGATGTGATCGATCATGCAGACGTTAACCAACGCGCGGCGTTGTCAATTCGCTAATTTATGAAATAGCGTTATTGGGCGTGTATATAGCGTGCGGCGCGTTAATATTATGCAGCGATGAAAGCCCTTAAATCGGGATGTCGGGAACCTCTGTCGGGCTAATCGGCAAAACAATTTGCCGCAGTTACTGCACTGTACACCGCGGGATACACTATAATGAACTCCCGTCAGTACACCGCGAGATCGGCTCAACATCGTTGTAATTCGAAATAATAGCTGGGATGTTATCGCGAGCCATTCGAGAGTGTCCCGTAACTGTAATTACAATTCTGCAATAATTCAGATCGAAATTCCGCGGCGAATCGAGAGGAAAAGAATTGTAAATTTTGCATTTCTAGTTTATTTCACATCCTGATAAACGCGCGAGTCTATATGGATATGTGTGTGTTTAGTCGAGGTGCGCGCTCGCCTTTGAGAAATAAACTATGCGACAAACGATTATGTCCACGATGTAACGTTGGCAGAGAAGCGGTTGCTAGCTTTCTGTTCTCTTGTAACCGATATCGCGAGACTGCATGCGAGTACTTTTCGCTCGCCGGTGCACAGTCGCAACAATCGTGGAGCGTGCTTTCGCGCATCGAAACGGAAGCGGAAATAAATTGGAGAGTGCACGCGACTGCCTTTCTGGAATTCGCGGGCACGGCGCACCGGGACAAAGGGCTAGTCTGCGAGAGGCGAAATTGCATCGAGCGAACGATTCACGTCAGAGGACAAATTTTATATGGACGTCTTCAAACGATGTCCCCTTTGCGTGCAATTCTTGCGCACCATTAACCCCTCTCTACAGGAAGCGGCTTCATTTTCACCTTATGCGAGAGTCAGATTCAGAATGACAAATGACTCGATTTTTCAATGGCACGTGCACAATCGACGACAGCACGAGCGCGCTGACAAGCCTAATAGACCATAGTTACAGTATGTTTGATAAGAGCG